TACACCGCTGCGCGTCACCATCTCGCTCCACCCCTGGGCTTCCTTCTCCTCTGTCCATCTCTTTACTACTCGTTACAACCCTCGGGTGCCTGTTTCTTCGCCGCCATCCGCACCCGGTGTTAACTCACTTTCCGTTCCCGAGTTGTTGCTTCTACTACGAGGAGATTCCCGATGCCGCCGCCAGCACTCTCTGTCTGACTGCCTGCCAACCGATCTTGCTTCTATGTCCTCCGATTGCTTTAGTACCACTGCGAAAACTGAACGCCTCCCTCTTCTCTGAACACGGTCTTCGTTCTAGAGCGCTCGATCCTATTGTATAGTACGTTGGACGTGTGTGTGCGTCTACAGTTCCTGCTTCTTGTTGCCGCAGGCCCCGAATCCGGAGCTAAAACTACCACCAATTTCACCGCATGTTCCCCTCAACCGACACGATGATCAAGTTTGATGCAGTGTTCACAGATGCTGTAGTGGAAGGCCCGCACGTCGGTGTGGGCTGACGCAAAGATCGAGAAAAACAACCTATGAACAGAATGTTTTTTGCTTCGACTTTCATTCAGTCGCTGTTTGCTTGATTCTGCTCCCTGTAAACTTCTTTTTTCTATCTTCTGCGCGTTTTTCTTCTAAGGGTCCATGGCCAGCCCCAAAGAAATCACTTGGCTTTATTTATTGCCAATAAGTCAATCCTGCCCCGTTCCCAATCTCGACCCCCCGGCAACGCGTCGAAGTACTGCAAACAAAAGCACTCCTCCTTTTCAATGTAATGGTGGTGAAGCTGTTGCTGATACTGGTGCACCATGCCCCGTATGCGACGTCTGTGACAATTGTAGTCTATAATTCTAGTTCATGGGCGAATAGAAATTTAAGGGGTAACTGCGTTTCCGCTGGGCTTCAGTTTAGCTGTCGCTCTAGCGAACCAATATCAAAATTAAGTGGAGAATAAATGGGATAGGAAGCCTTGAAATACCAAGTATACCAACGAAGACAACTCACGTCCGGGGCCCAAAATAGGCCGGCAAACCAGCGACAAGAAGCAACCAGGGAGTAAAGGGAACAGCTAGAATACCGGCTACTAGTAGCTCCAAGAATAGAGGCACATTTCTGAGTCGGCTTGTTATGGCTGGCGTCGCCTCGACTGCCACGAGATGGGGGGTGTTCCTCCTCATCAATTTTAGATCAAAACTCTATTTTGTGCTGAAGGAAGTGCGCGTACCGCACACCCCTTTCTCAGTTCCACAGCGATCACGAGTTCGTCCTCAGACTTACACCCACCACCGCATCACTAAGTTAGCCAATGGAACAGAGAGAGATAGCGTAAAGGCAGGGCCAAACGTTCTCCTGGACTAACTGGGTTTACTTGTTCATCAAGATCTAACCGCTCGCTCACCTGGTTGAGAGACAACCAACCAGGCCTCCTCACCGTCGAGCCTGGTTGCTTACTGCCCTATGTAGGAAAGGCTTCAAAGCCTGGCAAGGCATAGGCCTCTTTCTCCGCCTAAGCCAGCAGCCCCAGCTTTTCCTCATCCAGATAATAGTAAAGAGCTAGTAGCAAATCCCATTAATGAAGCTTTCCCGTCCGTCCTCTCACTCGTCGGCCGTCGGCTTTGCCAAAGCTGTGCCCCCTACACACACAAATCTTCCTTACACCTAACCCTTGCCATTCTAGGCCTTTTCACCATTCAGTCAAGCCGCGGAGGAGCGATGGATCGGCAGCACAGGGTCGCGCGCTTCGCAAAGGCCGTTCAAGCGTAGCGCAACTGGTAAATGCTGATCCAATGTAATTTTTGCCCTTCAAGGCGTGAGGCTTCTATAGATCGCTATGACGGTAGTACTCTCTACACAGCGATCTCCAAAAGATCCATGCCAGGAGCAACTATGGTAACACCATTTCGATGATTCGAAACTAATGGCTGCAATATGGAATTATTGCTTTTTTTAATCCCTTCGTTTATTTAGCTGTACAACTGCTGCGAATAGAAACGTATCATTTTGGCCACTGCCGTCAATAAAAACGTGAGCAGTTCAAATCAATTTGTAGTCAACGATCGTTCTTGGCGTACATTCTGCTTAACGAGCCGATATAAATGAAGTAGGTTTAAGTATTGCCGCATTCTGCATTTTGCCTGCCATAAGCTACGTATAACATACGCGTGTAAAATCATAGTGAACAGATCAGAGGTCTTGTGTGGTGGTCTGTAAGCACACGAAGCGTAAGTCCTTTTCTTACTTCTTTTCCACAGTCTCCTGTTTAATTTCCAAACATAGAAAAGGATTCCACCTGAGAAAAGGGGCTGAACTGCCAAAGCCGAGAAACGTAAGAGGGGCTTAATACTTACTGGCATTGATATTTTTCAACAGGGCATAGCTCAAGACAGCCTGATTCACATTACTATCAATGGGTCGACTGACACCAAGACTTTAAATTATAAAACCCAGCCGTGGTACTGGGATGGTAAATTAACTCTTGCCAGGCGCCATCCGCTCTAATGCGATAAACGGCTAGAGTGACTGGCCCCAAGATGAATATCCGATACCTTGACACGCATATAGAAAGACGTAAAGTGCAGCTTTTTGCCTTCAAGTTTGCCAACGATGTATCAGGGAAAACAACGTTCAAAACGGTACGGTAGTCATGAATCTACCCTAAAGTTAACAATAATTGTTATGAATTCACCGAAACACCTCTAAAAACCTGAGTTCATATAAATGTTTCACTTGCAGATCTCTGCCCAACAATATAAACTCTAAGATGAAAAAACAAACTATTCTATAAGATGCTGCTGTATATACATATATATATATATATATATATAAAACAAATTTGATGGGCATTTACCGCAAGTTCCCAAGTGTAGTTGACAAATGGCCCAATTACTCTATTATTTGTTTGAAGAGAACGTAAGTTTACGTTGAACGCTGAAGCAGTAGATCGCTATCATGTCAAAGCCAATTACGTCAAAAATCGTAGTAGGCCAAAATATCGTTATCACACCACTTGCGCTGCTGCTAAGTGTCTCCTGTTTCTGGCACACTCATTTAGTGACCGCTCCAGGGCCACCTTACAGACTGCTTAGCTTCCTACTGATTCATCTACTCCGCTTTGTCGTCGTGACCGATACTGGGCTCAACGAAGGCAATGCTGACGACAGCTCAGCCTTTCCGAACGCACGAGCCAAAGGGAATCGTCTTCCCGCCTCCCAAAAGGATTCCAGTTAACCGATTGGCTAAACAGGAAGATGAGCAGCGGTTACTGACCACGCCAGTTGCAGCCAGTACCACTATGGCACTGGCTATAGTCTGGACAACCATGCGTCAGTTCCAAGCGTTTCCTCGTGCTTCTCCTTCCTCTCTTCCTCAGTCTCATTTCCAACTATCGCTACGGGGATGCTGTGTGTATACTAAGGCGTAGTGTAGTGATTGAACTATTGGGCAAAGGCCTAATGGGCTTCCCCCTGAGGTTTGCCCAGAGCCCTATTTCGGCCTGCGTCAAATCCTGTGTCCTCGACATTTCTCGGTTCGAGTGCAAAGCGTTTCAGTCGATCAGCTACCAGCAACGTAACAAACGCGTTGGACGCTTAGTGTCACCGCCAAAATGGCACTAGTATACCGATAGTTTGCGTGGACGATGGCAAGCCTTTTCTTCTGCGAGATTCCTTAGCGCCTTTCCCTGTGTCGTCTACACTGGGTGGGCAATACAAAACAAGGCCACCAGCAGGGTCGCACTAGCAATAGAAAAGCTGTCTTCGATCATTCTTTGGAGATCTCTTGCCGGCCATGGAACGATCCGGCAGTCCCGTCAGTGAACTGCATCTAAGGTTGCCACCACAGCTATGAACAAGTGCGTTTGCCATTCGAACAGAAGCAAAAGGAAAAGTTCTATCAGCGAGATCAGCTGCTTAGCTGTTGACTCACTGAGAACTGAATAGAAACAGCAGAGATGTATCGTTAAGGGAAAGACAAAAAAAAGGGGGTGGCGCCTTGGGCCGCTTGCTGAAAGACGCAGCTTTGTGCGGTGCAGATTGACAAACTTTACGTTATGGCTATGAAATGCGAATGTCTACAAAAAAAGTGTGGCCTTCATCCGTTCTTGAGAATGGCTAACTAATTCAAACGCAACTTGGACCTCCTTGCGTCTTTCAGAAGACAACGAACAATAGCTAAGGAAAGATGACAGGACAAATGATGATCGCAGCTTTTCGATCTAACTCAGTTCGTTAGAGAGAAGTTTGGGTATGGGTATTTGCCCTACGTGAGCTGTGTTTGGCTGCTGTCGGGAGTGTTAGATTCATTATTAAAAATCGGTTACATTCGTTTGCGGTTGCACATGAAGCAAACTTATATGTTTGTTTGTATAAGCCTGCGCAGGACACGTGATACGACCTGTTTACAGTGTACTTTCAACGATTTTTCGAACGACATATTGTAAAGAATGTCCGGTTCTCATTCATTACGACCACATAAACATTACTATTCGTCCATAAGTCATATTATTAACATTAGAAAGTCGTAACAAATTCTGTTTCCCTGATGGTGCAGTGGTAATGTCTCTCTGTAGCTGTTAAACCTAAGGTCCTGTGTGGTGGTTCAGGTTCGAAACCTGGACGACTAGACACGCGTTGTTCTGTGTTTGGGCCAGAAAGCCTGACAGAATGCTTAATGAATAATGGCACTTATGAAATAAGTGCGAAATTCTGGTACACTTGGTTCTATTTTGGGGGGTCAGTGGTTTAATGCAATTGATGACCCCCAGTAGCGAACGTAAGCTTCGTCGTAATAATGAATTTGCACGCTAGGTATGTACATCCGATTTAGCCATCTTCTAGTATCACGTACGTTAATCTCTATGCACGAATTCTAGCCGATTCTCTATCGACGAATTCCCATTTCTCACTGAGACTGCTAGATCGAGTTAACATCAGTAAACGTTCATAGAGCGAGTTTACCATGTTTTTGTCGCGTCAAATCAATGTAAGGGCATCGCCAATGATAATATACATAGAATGTAAAATCCTTCTAATTGGTAATTGGTTTATTGGCACTTTATTTGCTACGTTGCACGCCGAAACACGGTATTACATTACATAGCATTTACATATTTACATGTGTAAAAGGAATGATACATCAGTAATATTGGATTGATACCGATGTCGACATTATCCTATAATATTTATCTAGATTTATTTCTATAGACATAAGTATTTCACGAGTTTCGTATTCGGTACGTGCACACATGCAAAGCCTCTGATTTGTTAGCGGACACTAGCGAACAAACAGATCGGTCACCGACAAAAATGAATGCCCACCAGAGTGCGGACCCGTTTGCTTTTTTCAAAAGGACCACAAATGTTCATTCACAGCATTGGCAGCGACGACTGCGACAAGTCACAAAGCGGTTTAAACAAATGGTAATATAGAACTTTGTATTATCTGTCTCAGGTTCATCAGAGACAATTGAAATGAATGCCATTGTCAGCCCTACCAACAGTGAGTTGAACCTTGTAGGAAGTCAAAGGCAGGATATCAGAATCAGAGTCAACTGTATTTAACAAGATATGCCTTTACTCGGAATATAATTTAGGTGTTTCTTACTTTAATGACCTGCCTATTTTGGCCTACCACTTCCATCCACCTCCACTTTTGATTTCCGTGACAATATACCCCTTACCGCCGCCTGAAATATAGAAATGTAGCCAATTATTGCAGGAGAAGTACTACCTAAATACCGTTCAATGTCGCATTTCATAGATAATTTTACGGACATTTATCACTAACGAATGAGCAATCGAACTAGACAAAAATATCACTCGTATTTTAAAGCGAATCATTTAGAAGTTATCATGATATAATCGTCTTTACTAGGTTCACCTATCACTTCAAACCCTTGCTTAACCGATGGTTTACCTCCAAAATCATCCCCATGTGCACCTCCTCCTCCATGGTTTTTTTTGAACACGAACGTTTTTTTTGTCATATGCCCGTATCCTAGGTTCGGGATCGATCGCAGCACGACGGTCTCACCGCCACCATGATCCCCGCCACCGTAATCTAGAATAGTACATTTTTGGCCTCATTACAAGCAACCGTTGTAAGTGATATTACAAATGATAAATTGGAAAACATACGATATACATAGAAAGAGAGAGTAAATGATAATTGTGCATTATTATATATCCACCGTCGCCGTACCTACCTCTACCGCCACCGATTTCTTTGATGATAAACGCCTGCCCTTCAACCCCGTCTCCTTGCCAACCTTTGCCACTCCCGCCTCCGCCGCAGAAGATCCCGCCAAAAAGGCATGCGATCACCTATTTTACACGAAAATAATGACTATTATTATGGATCATTCGCTCAGACACACCTTCGACTACCCGATATGTCTTACAATGAGACCAGACGTCATGTCATCGTTTGTTTTTGATAGACAAAATGAAAAAAATACACATATCTCTTCCGGCCTGCATACTATTAGGGTTTTAATTTAGTAGTATGCATTAATTGGTTCGATGATAAGTAAAAACAGGCCAACCATTCATTTCCGCCGTGACGGATAAACACACATAGACAGTCGTCATCTCAAACCTTATTTGATCGTCGTAATCGCTGCCAGTGTCCATCTAAATTGAGCGAAGTATCGCGGAAACGGTTTACTAATTCTCAAGCTTAGGTTATGCGAATTTTGTACTTACCAGTATAGTTCTCATGATCTCCGTATTCTGCTATTGGCAAACTTCACTGGTGAAGATTATTTTTTGATCTTATTCACAAAAGTGCTGCCGGTTGACCGTTGTGATCAGAATTGGTCATGGTAGCTCCTTGTCTTATATAATGCACACAAAGAAGACAGAAAGAGAAAGAGGGTTTACCACAACAACGAGACAGAGGCTGGTTCACCCTGGTTGTCAATGGCGGCCAAGCGATGCGCCACGGTGCGGCGCTGTGATTATGTCAGAGGGCCTCCAGCCAACTGTCGATATCGCTGATGCCCAGGTGGGGAGTCGCAACCTTCACTAACGACCAACCAACAAAGCCTATACACGTCACATCTGAGAAAGGTGCGCATATCGTGACGGCCAATGGATAACGGAGGACAAGGTTGAGCAAATGATGATTTCGACAACTGCCGCCACAGTAGCACTCATCGCAGACGGACGAATAGTCAGGGGCACAGCAGCGATGAATTAGTGAGCTGATGCGTCATTAACCGATACGAGCCGTTTGCCAGACCGGCGGGGGTTTTTGTTGTGTACTAACCGGACGTACAGCGTGAAGTTGGACACAGATAGTCAAAACGACATACAAATTTCTGCTATCGAAGCGACAGCGATCAAATAGCCAATATTTCTTATTGCAAAACCTGTAGCCAGACGCTACCCTGGGCCCGCCCTTTTCCAACCCCATCTCCTGTGTGTCGTGTTATGTTTTTCGCACAACAGTTACATTACCGCTTGTTGTCGCACCCGCTATAACATTCGTAGCGACAGGAGCTTCGGCCATTGCTACTGATCCTGTTATGATTGTAAAGCGCTATTGATTGCTAACTTACCATTCATACTTTGGCTTTCCCCTAACAACTCGGTGAGTGCCTGCTATCTTGAAATGTTTTGACGCCGTTTCCTCGATGTGAATGAATCGCCGTTGTAACGTGATGGCGCTAAAGTGGTGCATCAAATAAAGAAGGTAATCTAGCAGGACTACTGGCTAGAAGGAAAGCTGTACAAGTTAGTTGTTTTAAAAATACAAAATGTCATAAAGTCCATGGCATCGTATATATACAATCGGAAGCAATGTGGAAGTGAAGCAAGAAGAAACGTGTCGAAGAGCATCTAAAGAGACTTGCATGAGACGTATCTGTAGATTCTTTGAATTCAATAAATTCGAAGTGTTACAACGTTTCGATACGCGTGAATTACACCGAAACACAGACGGCCTATAACTCTGAAGCCATCAGCTGAAGTGACCGAATGACGCACAAGCCCTATAAATTATTCAAATTAATGCTAAACGGTAGCTTCACATATCAATGACGGCCTATATCAATGGTTCAATGAAATCGATAGATTCTGTTTCCCGTTCTGATATGTTTAAAGACGGACTTTCGTTCGTTGTATAAGTCATCAATAAACGGCATCATCAGCCCGAGCTAACGTCTCGGATGACGTGCTATTACAATGATAACAGTGGACGTATATGGCCAATAAGTAAAAAGTGCTATTGTATATAAACACGATGATATTAAAAAGCTGCTTTGTAATTCAAGTTATTTTTCTAAAAATGCAATGATCTTTCGAGATTTTTAAGAAACAGTCTGTGTATCGTATAATGATACATATATAAGATATATACTTTAACCATACATTTTGGCGATCCAAGTCAACTCATTAATGTGTAATTTTCAATTTAAAAAAATGTAAAAATGGCAAAAACGTTTCCATAACCATGTTCCTCAATGTTTGTGTCGTACGAGCTACCCACTCGCCACTCGTGCCCCATTCCCAACACCGCCTACTTGTCAACAAATATTGTTAACATATACGACATTAATGACTTAATATCTAATACACTCTTCAGAAAATGTAAATATAGGCACAAAGCAAACTATTTTGCAAGATCAATAACGTATTAGAGCTAAAAATCAACCAGCAATGGTTCTTTCATCGTTCCCATACATGAAATTTTTTTAGATAGCACACGTCCGTAAGCAATCAGGGACCACGAAGGCGCGTGCCTATCGATCAACGGGTAGGGATAATCATTATAGCGCATGATCTATACGTGAAAGATGTTTTGAGCATGGAGTCACATCTATTACAAGAACAGACATATTTCACAAGGTGAAAGTTAGAGAAGTCTATATAACGACGATGAACTGGGCTCGTCTGTGGGCTGATTGCCTCTCTGAACAGTTTTACCTGAATGTAACGTTTCCGAACTAAGCAGAGAAGAAAACACTATTAGAATACGTAATTTACGTAGAATACGTAAGGTCTAGAAAATTGCACTGATTTATTGAATGGCGCTGATTTAAGGAGTGCTTGCCTATTCTGCTAGCAATGGGCTACAAAGTAATACTTACTTCTCATAAATTATGTAATAATATTTCCGATTCACTTTTTCGTGGCTTGATACGTTCAGTCCCGAATATGTCTGACGCAAATAAAAGCATTTCGAGAATCGGGTACGACCAAAAGCATCTACCTATGCCCAAACAAGCTGCATAATCCAGCTAATCAGACACAAGTCAGGACAATTTTACTCATACAATTACATTTTAGCCAATCGGAACAAATATAAACTTGTACCATTCTTTTGGCACAACTGTTGATTGATTTTTTAAATTTACAACTGCTAACAAGCGAATCGTAGATCGCCTCACTATACCACACGGTGGTTGAACCCTAGTAACGCACTCTATCAAAAATCTATGGACTGAAGTTTGACGAACAGGAAAGGCCAGCAAGTCAACCAGTTTCAATAATCCATATTTATTAATAGACTAGAAAAAAAAAAGCTTAAAAGCAACCCTGTTGATTTGCCTTGTGCTTGATTTCCTTATTAAATTATATTTATTATTACTTATTAAATATACTAGTTTATGGCCCAGTGGATCGCGCATGCGACGTCTAGTGTGATCGTACAGTCGCGCCTGCATCCTGACAGGCGAAACTGAGCGATCGGAAGATGGGCACAAAAAAGGCTCTGAGAAAATATATTGCAATCCCTTCAGGCCTCCTCGGGCACCGCTGTGGAAACAACGACATCATCATCCTCAAGGGCGAACTCAGCTAAGAAGATGAAAGACAGACTACGAAAATAAGATACTCTCCAAACGAAGTCCAATGCATTCTTTCTGTCCTATGCTGCACGATCACCTTACCGGCCCACCGAACAGAAAAAGGAATGCCTAATATCCGCCTGCCTTCGGAATCTGCTAGCGGAACGGAATCTTTCCCTCTCTGACTCTATGTCTATCGGGTTATTTATGCCCGACCCAGTATTTTTAGTCTGTACTGATTAAAGAAATAAAATAAATTATTACTTCATATATATATATATATCATGTAGCTTCATTTTTACTGTGTCTCTTCATTTGTACTGATAGCACGGTATATGATTCACCCTACAACTAGTTGTATGCATCGTACTTCTCGCCCTAAAGGAAGGAACAGTCATATCTCTGTATAATTTGTACATTTTATAGATAGTACGTTTACCAGACTAAATTCCATGTACGTAACATAGCGGAAGTACAAATTTGACGTTTCAAGAAGAGCCATTTGCGTAATATTACGTGATACGTGTTTCATACGTGATAGGGAATCAGCGAAACAGCCAGACGATTCGTACAAACATCGAGTAAATTCTGGGGCACAAATCAGGTTCAACATTCAAACAGATGAATGAAGGGGGGTCTTTTTTGACAACACCGAAAATATATTCACGTTCAGATATGAACTGCGTTCCTGCTTTGGCGCGTAAAACGCTTTCGCGTGAAAATACTAATTGGCTGTATTTTCAATCTTATTTCTATCCGCTCTTAATATTGTAATTGAACAAACAAAATACCTATTTAGCGATATAAGGGTAATTATCCGATAATTTCTCTGCTAAATTTTCTATCGAATTTTCAAAGGCAGGACAACCCAGGTGGCCTGTCTTTAGAAGACTTGCCCTGCCACGTTTTTGCAATTGCTCTTGCCTGATTCGCCACCACGACCTGATGCTATATTTTGTTTGCCATGGCGCCGTACACTGATGTCACACAACAAGATTCCCTTATATGTATATATAAGGGAAGCTTGTTGTATAATCGATATCGAATTGTGCCACATGGAAAGCACGTGTTTAAAGTAAATGACACCTGTATTTGGCATGAGGAGCTGAAAGTTCAACGGTTAATGTTTGTGTATTGCGCTAAGAAGGGCTACCTTATCAGTAACAACGACGAAAACTCTCGGCGCCAACTCCCTTCTATTAATACTTACCGTTGGCAGTATGTAGGTAAACATAGTTTACCGTTTAATAAACGAATACATAAATCAGTACGTAACAACCGCTTCGCTCTCAGCCGTACACTTTTTTAATCGTACGTTTAGGCTATTGTCAGCAATACCATATCTAGGCTCGGTTGGCTGACGACCGGACGGTCACAATTTTAGAATACAGGCCCAACAGCAACAACAAAGGCCAACGGATAATCTTCACCGACGGATAAGGTTTCCCAAACACGACGAGCCACCCATGAAGTTACTTCCGGTCATCGTCGCCATAGTTCAGGTGCGCAGCCCTTAACGGTTTTCTACGCGGTAACAACAATAGCAACTATGGGAAGCAACGATCAAATAGTACCGACATTTTAACAGCGATGACCTGGCCATATTTGTCAGGCCGGTTATCATTCACAGATCACCCGTCCGTGTTATTCAATGGGCTCGGCCGGTTCGACCGTCAAGAGCAGGAGCAAAATTATCACTACCTCAATCTTCTACGTCCAACTATATTTTTATATATAAATACCATATGCTGTATGGATAGGTGAGTGTATATGTACATATAGGATGAGACGCTGTGCAGAATGCAATGCATGCGTAATCGAGTGACTAGTGCCTGACTAGTGACTAGAGTTCGTGCCTGAATTTGTATTGGTCGTAGTAGTGGGAAACCATCCGCTGCCTGTGTTCTGCTAAAGGGGCACCGAGTAGAATGGGAGAACAAGCTTATGAACGCCCCCTGCTCTAAGCTCAACACGCATGATTATTAATAAACGACTATCTTCTAGTGGCAGAGTAAA